AGACACCCTTTTGTGGTTTTTGAGACGACCGTGCCCCAATCCACAGTCCACTGATGGCTCCCAACTTGCCTTTGGAAAAAGTTCAGATGAGCCTGTGCTGCAGAGACCTTGGTAACTGCCATTCTCTTGCTGGAACCCCCAACACCAATAAGGCAGGTGTGTCTCCCGGGCTCCAGCATCCAGTGAACTGCTTGCAGTTTCTCCCATTGTGAGAAACCTTGATCTCCACTTTAGTCTTCTACTTCACTAAGACCAAGTTCAAGTGGCCCCTCCTCCAGGAAGCTTTCCAGGTCCACCCTAGCCGACCTAGTTAGCACTTCCCTTCCCTGACCTCTCATGGTGCTTATCTGCCTTAAACATGGGGCATTAATCCAACCCTGCCTTTGGCCTGTGAGCAGCTTCTGCTCTCAACTAAAAGCGATGCGATCCAGTGGGAAAATCACATACTTCCAATAATGATGGGCTGATGAATCCTGAATCTGCCACTAATTACCAGTTTGATTTGTCAAATTATGGATGGGTGTGTGTGTCAATCTTTTAAATAAAAGCTTTAGTAATAGCTTTCATTTACTAAACACTGGCTGTGTAGTTAAGTGCCTCAAGTGTGTCAACTCCAAGTGGGTGATCGTTTTATCTCCGTCTTAAAGAGAGAGAAACTGAGGTTCAGAGAAGATGAGTAATTTGGTAATCAAGTCAAAAGGCTGGCAAGTATGTGCTGGGATGGCTCTGGGATCAGAAAAAAAGGCTTTTGTGCATCTTGGAGAGCCTTTAATTTATATCTGGAAACACATTCCATCAACTGCCATTGAGTGTCCCCCAAACCTCTGCCCCACCCCACTTCCCAGCCCGCATATTCTTAGCCTTCCCTAATAGAGGGAGGGAAGGAGGGAAGCCACGCACGGTGTTTCCACCAGGCTCCCCTGAGCTCACCAGGGTAGGTGCAGAGAATCAAGGATCTTCAGACTTGGAAAGGCATGCAAACACCGGGCCCTTCCTCTCCATACTTCAGATGCCGAATCTGAGGCTCAGACAGGAGAAGCAACTGGGCCAAACACCCCCCTAATGGGACAGACGGTGCATCTTTGTTCCCACCCTAAACTCGCCAGCACTGGGCTCCCCAGGTGGCCTCCGGTACATTCAACTGAAAACCAGGCACCTTATGCATACAGAGAAATGTCCTTTCATCCATTTCAAGTCTGTTACTGATTAATTTCATAAGGCAGGATAAATAGGAACCCCCACTTGGCCTTTGGGGAGCCCTTCATTACTTCATTTACCTCTGCCTGGTCTGCGCCCGCTCCACACGTCTCTGTGATATAGAGCTCTAATCATCCACGTTCTCTCTGCCCCTGGATTCCACTCCCCTGCCTCTGCTCGCACCTCATTCCTGACGCCTCTCATCAGCTCCTCTGCCCTTCAATGGCCTTTCACCCTTTCATTTATATCCTCATTAAGATAAGAGAGCCAGCCTTGGCTGCTGTATTCAAAGTGAGGATGTACCAATGGCTTACAGAATGGCATGATAATATTTCTGCATCTCATTCTCCATCCCCTTCACATAGTCACGTGTCTTTTTGCAGCTCTGACCACCACTGGGCATGGAGCGCATGCCTTCACTGAGCTGTCCACGATGACACTGGCTGTAGATCTTTCTTTCTTTTACCTCTTTCTCTCCTTTTAACACAGACATTGCAGTTAATTCAGAGGCCGCTGGTGTGTTTAAATTTAAATTGCTGCCTTCCAGTGAACATTCATTGCCTAGCTCTGGTGTGCGCAATGCAGATAATTGCCTGTCAGAGAAATTCCTTGAAGCTGCTCTGGTCCCTGCAGCACTTGAACCCCAGCTTAAGGGTAAATGTTTGATATGAGAGGCCATGCTGCCACCTGAGAAGTTCCTGGGTTTCTAGGGCAATAAGTCATCTTTCCAAGATGTACACGCATTGATTTGCTGAGCAATGGAGATTAGAGCCTGCAAAACGTGCCCTTTTCTTTCAAGGGTGTAATTGATGCCACCAAGATCAGGTCAAGGAGGTGGTAGCCCTTGGTCCTCTCTGAATATTTGCAACTGAGCCCTACTGCTATCAACTGTATTCTCAGATGTTTTAGCAAAGAACTCGAGGGTGTTATTGGAATGGTAATTTTCTGTTTTGCATGCCCCTCATAGGGTCTGTATCGGTCAGGGTTCTCCAGAGGAACAAAATCAGTAGAGGGTATGTGTGTGTGTATGTACAGAAACTTATGTCAAGGCATTGGTTTCCACAGTTGCAGGTACTGGCAAGCCTGAAATACATCGGGCAGGCTAAAGGGCTAGAAACGTTCACACAGGAGCCAATGCTATAGTTTTGAAGCAAAATTTCTCATTCCTCATTCCTCAGTTTTGTCCTTAAGGTCTTTCAATGGATGGGGAGAGGCCCTGCAAATTATCAAGGACCATTGCCTTTATATCAAATCAACTAAGGTAGACATTAATCATCTCTACAAAATACCTTCATAGCAGCACCTAAAGTAGGGTTTAATTTCATAACTGGGGAACATAGCCTAGCCAAGCTGACACATAAAACTAACCATCACAGAGTCAATAGCAATGAGCTACAGCCTGGAAGCCTCCTTTTTCAATCTCCACTGGCCCAAGGGAGCCCCTCTTTAGCACAACAGATGTTATCTCCAGCCCTGAGCTTTCAAATCTAGGTGCCCAGAACTAATTCACAATGCTGGTTCTAGGGATTTTCCTAAGACCACCCCAAACTTTGTCTTTACCCCTACATCCCAGATCTTCAGTTCCCCAATATTTTGGTGACACATTCGGGCTCTTCTCACTAGATTATGGGACTTGTTTTCCCACATGACTCTCAGTACCCCTCCATACCCCTATTTTGGGATCCATCTACTTCACTTAACTACACAGTCTCCGACTGTGTAGACTGCCTCCACTGATTGGTCGATTTAGACAAAGAAAAGTGATTTACAAATGTTCAGGGAAGGATAGGAATGGGGCAGGGCTCTAGCTAGATGGAGGAAGGCCACATGGAAGGAAATGGAGGAAAGAGTTGAGGTTTGGGGTCAAAAAAGCCAGAATCCAAATCTTGCCACTTTCACTTACTTGGTGTGACCCTAGACACATTATTTAAGCTCTCCAAGTCTTGGTTTCTCTGAGTGCCCAATAGGGACATAAACCTACTTCCTAAGCGTAGACGGTGAATGTCAATGTCCTGAGCACATCCATGTCCTCTGCTTATAAAAGACACTGTTAAAGTGCACTTCCCAGCCTCCTTCCAATTAGCAAGCCGAATGGTGAGCGCTGACCTGTTCACAGCGGGTGCTCCAGGTATCTGCCGCTCTGTAAAATGCTCCCCAGAACCTAGCAACCTGCAACAGTAACGATCACTTACTCCACTCATGAATCTGCACTTGAGCACAGCGAAGGGCCAGCCTGTTTTTCTTTTGGGTTTTTTTGTCTCCCCTGTGACATCTGCTGAGACAGCTTGACTGGAACCAGAGGATCTCCTTCCAAAGTGGCTCCTTCACGCAGCTGATAAGCTGGCCCCCACATCAGCTTCTCTCTAGAGGGTGAGGGGTTTCCCTGCCCCAAGGTGACAGGATCACAAGAGCAAGGGTTCTAAGAGACAGAAAAAGGAAGCTGCCCATCTCTTAAATCCAGGCCCAGAAACTAGCACAGTGCCTCTTCTACAGTGTCCTACTGACCAGTCACAAACCCTGCCTGAATCTAACGGAGGTGGACATAAAACATACTTCCAGGCTCAGAATTTCTGACCCTGCTTAATCCGCCACAGTGTTCCAGTCCAAATGGAGAAATAGGACCAGATCACCCTGTTACCTGAAACAACTGAAAACTGGACAAAATATGTGAACCAATACCATGCAGGAGAGTGGGCATAGGTAACGGAAGCCAGCAATTCCTAAGAGATAGGCAATAAAACGTGAGCCCTACAGCTGTCCCAGTTTACTACCTGGGAGAAGTTTCCAGGACAAAGCACAAGGGGGAGAAACCCAGAGTTCAGCCTTCTTTCTTAGCTGAGGAGATAAGCTAGATGTCTGCAGAAGCTAAAGTGGCCGGAGGTGGTAGGGAAGAACACAAGAAGAGAGAAAGCCACATAGAAAGAAAGCTCCAGATGTCTGCAGGAAGTCCCCATTCAAGACGCATGCCCAGTCCCCGATCAAGGCATGTATGTGGGAAAAACGCATTGCCTGAGCCCAAGGAAAGAATCACGTGAAAGAAGGAGCAGGAAAGAGACTGGAGGCTCGTGAAAGACCAGGCATGGTGCCAGCTCCCAAATATCAAAATGAAAACCTCCTATTTAAAGGACATCAAAGAAATATCTTCCTTCAAGAGTTGGGGAAAATTAGCCTTTTACTAAATTCCGTTCTGTGGTCCCACCCACCAAAGCTTAAAAAGAAACACTTAACAGTATCAGCTGTATATTTTTTTAAATATCCAGCACCCAACAAGATAATGGCATGAGCAATTTGTAGCACCCAATCAAAAATTATTAGGCATCTAAAGAAGCAGGAAAATACAGCTCAAAATGAGAAAATTCAATCAATAGATACAGACCCAGAAAAGACGGAGACTATAGAATTAGCAAGGACATTACAGTTATTGTGATGACTGTATTCCATATGCTCAAGAAGCTTCAGGAAAAACTGAACATATTAAGTGGATACAAGGAAATTACTTTTTAAAATACCAAAATCAAACTTCCTGAGATGAAAAATACACTAAATGGGATTAGTGGCAGATAGGCCGACTCTCAGAAGAATGTATTAACGGAATTGAAGATACAGCAATAGAAACTATTCAAAACTAAACACACAGATAGAAAAAAATAACTAAAGCATCAGTGAACTGTGGGACGACCTTAAGCAGCCAAATTTGATGAAAACCATAAACACACATATCCAGGAAGCTCCATGAGCCTCAAGCCAAAGAAGCATAAACAAAACTATTCTAAGGCACATCATAATCAAATTGCCTTAAACACCAGTGATAAAAAGAAGCTCTTAAAAGCAGCCAGAGAAAGACACATTGTGCATAAAAGAACAAAAATAAGGAAGACACTAGATTTCTCACTAGAAACAGCAAGAAGACCACGAAGCAACGTCTTAGAGGCGCTGGAGGAATCCACAGTGAGTAAGCCTTCCGTTTGCTTCTCTACTTTGTATTAGCTTCCAAGGGCTGCTATAAAACTCACCGCAAACGGAGGAGCTGAAAACAGACACTTACGCCCTCACAGTTCTGGAGGCCAGAAGTTTGAAATCAAGGTGTTGGGAGGTGGGCTCTTTCTGGAGGCTCTGAGGGGGGCTCTGTTCCATGCGCCCCTCCTAGTTTCCGGTGCCAGACCCCTTGGTGACACAGGCATCACTCCAGTCTCTGTCCCCATCATCACATGACCTTCTATCCTCAGTCTCCCTTGTGTCTTCAAATAGCTGTCACCTCATAAGGACCCTAGTCCTTGGATTTAGGACCCACCTTACTATGACCTCATCTTAATCACATCTTCATTATATTTGCAGAGACCCTGTTTCCAAATAAGATCACATGCCCAGTACAATGGGTTAGAACTTGAACATGCCTTGTTGGAGGGAATAGCTCATCCCGTGACTCTTCTCCTGTCTCCCAGTGGATGGGGAAGGTCCGGTGGAGCATTCCAATATCCTGGGGAGAGGCCAGAGGTGCTGGATGAGAGAAGCCTGGATCCCTGAGTTACCACGGGGAAGACCACCCAGGAAGCATGTGGCTGATCTCAGAGGTGAGATAGAACATGAAGCATTTGTATGATAAGCCACTGAGCCTATCATGAGAACTGTTATGTGCCATCATCATGGGAATTGAGATAATGCAGGTAAAGGACCTGACACATGAAAGGTGCTAAATAATCAGTAGCATAACTAGGATATTAGTACAGGAAAGATGAAGTAACGAGTTTATATTAAGTCTCAGGCTCTCTGTGAACCTTGGGGAGGACTTGGAACAGTGACAGGCTTATACTGTGCTAGCAAAAGACTTTGATCCCAACAAGAATAAACTATCAAAAAGGCAGACTCGGTCCCTGCAGGGTAAGACATTGTCATCATACCAAACCTTTCTCAGAGGTTTACATTTGAGTTAGCCATTTAATTAATTAACCATTAGGCAGAGTAGAAAGGTGATTCAAACTAAATATCTGACCCCTTTATCACAACAAACCCCAATGCAGGAATCCCTCACCTCCTGCAAGTTTGGATTACTGCCCCTTGACTTTTAGGAAAAACCTACATTAGTACAGTAATGGCTTTCTTCATAAAAGCAAAATCCTTTTTGGATTTCTTTCAGTTAGTAAAACCAAGTACTAATGTAGGTTGTTCATAAAAGTAAAAGCCATGTGGCATAGCACAAACTTTCTGAAAACAGGGACACTCTTCACTTTAACCCATTTTGCTTTACAAAAGGTTTCCTAAAGATGCTCTACTTGCAATTAGTGGGGGAATCCTGTACATAAAGTCAAGGTTGCTGGCTGAGCCAGGGAGGAAATCTTATCTTCTGCTGTTTCCAAGCAAAATCAGTATACAAAATTATTTTCTGTTTCCCATACATCTTCTGAGATGACTATAGACCAAATAGCCAATTGATCTGGAGCCATTTTTTACTCTCCTCTGAAACACAGAGATATTTTTCATTCCCATCCAAAAGGAAAAATGTTAAATCACATGTGAATTGCAGATATAAGCATTTAAGTACTGTTTTCCTGCTTTGTTTGTGAATAATTTTTCATTTCATGAAGAAGCCAAATATCTCAGTCAGTAAAATCAATAGCAGCCACCAGAGCGGGTGGAAAATTCTCCAGGCTTAATACAGTTTCATGCATGGTTGTCAAAGCTGAATGTCTTAAGAGGACAAATAGTGAATTCCCTGCCTTAGAAGAGATGTATGAGTCACAGCCTTTCCTTCTAAAAACTAATCTCTGGGATAACGGTTCACTCATTCAACAAATGTTTATTAAGCACTTACTGTATGTTACATAGTACATCAAATGTTTGGAATACACAAAAAAATAAAATCAGGGATCTACTTCAGAGGGAAAAGAGTATCTAGTAAAATAATAACTAGCATTTAAAGAACGCTTACTAAATTTCAAGCACTGTTCTAAATACTTTGTAGATGTTAATTCACATATTCCTCAGTGACGGCCCTGTGAGGGGTTATTAATATATGTGTTTGACAGATGAGGGAACTAAGGCAGAGAGTTTTGTGTGTTCCCAGTCCCACAGCTTAGTTAAACGTAGACTCAGCAAATGAGCCCATGCAGCCCTATTCCAGAGGCCATGTTCCTCTTATGCATATGATACATATGCGAGCTTATCAACTCACCAATGCGACCAGAGACAGACTCTAAATAAAGTTTGATGAAAAGGTCCTATGCCCTTGTCTCATTTTATTATTGTTTTTCCCAGTTGCTAACAGAGTTCCTGTCATGTGGCAATCATTTGTTTTTTGATTATTGAATTAAGTACCACAGTAGAGTAATAGAAATAGTCATCTGGTAGACACAAATAGGCAGCAGCTCCTATGTTTGTCTGGGAAATCATAGAAGGCCTCACAGAGGAGGTGACTTGAACTGGGTGCTAATACAGAGATGAGTTGAACATTTTGATAGGTTATCCAGGAAAGAAAGACATTCTGGGAGGCAGAAGTTCAAAATCACAGAGGCAAAAGCACAGAAGCAGGCAGAGCATGGCCACTTAGGGGGATTATAAAGAGCTTACAGTGATTAGAAGTAAGGGTAATTGGTGATTCATTCAATGGCAGTTTTTTTCCTGAGCAAGCAGTGTTTCGTAGACAGCTTCTTGGAGCTCTGACAAACCGGATTGCTTGGTGCTTTGCTCCTTCATTCTTGACACAAATGTCAGGCTCTTTGGGGGTTTCCGAAAGATGCTGTTTCTCTACTAAATAAACCTTTAGATCAGCGCTTCCTAGCATATCCCTGGAGACCACCAGGGGCTCCAGCCCTTCCAAGAACTGAGTGTCGGCATTTCAGTTCATCAGGAATTCTGAGCCCAGGCCACCCAATGAGAAGCTCTTTCTTAGGTGGAAAAAGTTAGCCAAACCTTGACAAAAGTTGTTCTCGGTGTAAAATTCCACACATTCAAGCTATCAGGAAAGAAATGAAGGCTGGGCCATGAGTCCATTCTTGCTTTTTATAGTCCAAGATTGTGTCTGAACTTAGAGAGCACTTAAAGGGCTGAGCTGAGAGGAGCTGGGAGCAGGTGGTGATGGGAGAGAGCCTTTGAAAAAGCAGAAGGGAGAGAAAGAGGTTTGGAGACTGTTCAACGGCTGCTCACCCCCCATGACCTTGGAAGTCCACCTCTGAGACTCTTTCTGCTCCTTCCCTTCTCCCTATATATTTGCAGGAAGCCCTGTGTCCCAAGTCACCAGCAGGGAGCCATTCCCGCTGCCCTGGGCTGGGCGAAGGTGTTTTCTCACAGCGAAATCCTCCCCCTCCCCCTTCCCTCTGACACATTCACTCCAGGCTTAATGGCTTCCCGTCTCTGTTCCTCCCACCACACCTTTCTGATTCTCATGGCAGATATTTTACTTGGAGCTGAGGGGAGACGCTACAAATGGAAAGAAAACTAGAAGGCACCATACCGCAAATGGCAAACCCCTTGAAGAGGCTCTAAGATCTACAGGAGTTTAGTTACACAGTAATTATTGTGAGTGAGGGGTGGGGACCTGAGCTGTGGGCCTCCACATGGCTCACGAAGGGCGAGTAACATTCAGATAAATGCATAAAAGAAGGAAAGACATTCTAGAAGGTATGGGCCCCGCAAGTAAGCACAGGAAAGAAGATCGAGAAAGAATGCCAGCACGGGCCCGGACAAGGCTTCTCTAGCTGCTTGCAGGGGAATGGAAGAGGCCTCGATCGTTGGAAGCGGGGTCCATGCTTCATTCTTCAGGGCCCTTGTCCAAGGCCACGTTCTCTGCGAAGCCCTTCCTGGAACCCTGAGGCACATAGACACTGTTAATGTGCAAACTCTTTTGTTGGTCTAGCAATGCTTCAGCGCATTTTAATTTATGAGCATTTTTCTCATCTTTGCAAGCTTCCTCAGGTGGTATCACGTTATGGGCTTTGTGAAAACATTAATAACTTGAGACCTGTAATATATGTATATCACTTAGCACACAGCTAGGGTGGCCATATAATTTCTTTCCCAAACTCAGACACGTAGGGGAATAAAGGGGACCAATCAAGGATTACCCTAAGACCACAGGCATTAACCGATGCTGTCCCAGGCTAAGCAGATGAACAGTTATCCTACCTATCACAAATTTATTTCTATGCCATTAAAGGCCGATGATCAATTAAGGAATGCCAAAGGGTCTTATGTGTAAGTTGATTGAGGGCACTGCCTCCTGGTGACATTGGTGCTGCCTCAGGATTTCTACCCACGGCCACTATTCTCCACTGTGTACACTCTTTACAGCACCCAAATGAAGATTTTCTTTTTTATGGCCTATTTATTTGATAAATAAACAATAACTGCATTTTTCTCCTAACTGGACACTGTGGAAGATTCAGGCAATGCATGAGTTAAAAAGCATGGCCCTTTGTCCTCTGAGAGTCTAGTGAAAATCCATGTAGTCCCTCATTCATTCATTCATTCATTCATTCAGAAAACATATATTAAGAGCCTGTCATGCATCAGGCCAGGTGGTGGTAAAGAACCTCCCGAGTTCTCGCCCCAATGGAGCTTCCATATTGCAATCCGGCAACATAATGACAATAGGACATTTATAATGGTATTTGTACACTGCTGGCCCAAAGGAGGGAGATACCAACAGTGCTTGGAGTTTAAGAAAGCCCCAAATGGGTCTTCCTGTAAGGGTGGGGGGAAAGGATCATGAAAACAAAGACTTGTTAGGCTGCTGTGATGGTCCAGAATTGATGGCTGAGTTGTTATGTGGATGCGACGTCTCCTGACTGGAGACTATATAGCTTCATGACAATAGTATCATTACAAGACTTGGCTTTCTTTCTGTGCCCATTACTCAGGCACCAAGAATGATGGTGTCTATCTCAGCCACAGCGGACATGGATGAGTCATTCTCAATGTCAAATGATCTGCTAGCTGCCACTGGTCCTGTCCCCTTATCCCTACATCCTCTTCGTGGCTCCAAGACTGGCCTCATTTCCCCTCTCTCAGGAAGAGTTTGTACTGTGCAGTCTGTTTATTCAACACCAACTTTTGATCTTAGACCTGGGACTCTGAGTTCTTGAATATATCCAGCTTTTGCTTAATTCATAAGGAATGCAAGAAATAAGAATTAGTCCACTTCCCCTGTGCTCCAAAACGTCCCTGATGTCTCACACTACAATAGAATGATTCTGTACAGCTTTCTAAGGGATGGAGAATTCAGCTTCTTAGTAGTTTTACAAAGAATTAAAATCCAATAGGGACTTCAGTTAATCTGCTAGAAATGATCCAACCATGTCTCTGTAGTTCTCTTCCCACCTTTCAATAGAGACCAGGAATCTTGACCTACACAGGCACGTTGCTGAAATTTCAACTTCCTTATTCTGCTACAGCTTAATGGGTTTTCAAGATCATCCCACTCTGTTTCATGGCAAATACTTAAACATTGACAATGTAAGGTAAAGTGAGTCCAGTAAGTCCACCGAAGTATTCTCGGTTCAGTCATAGAGTAACATCTCTCTCTCTCCGTGGGTTCGGATCTGAATTTAGTGTGTTAGACTAGCTACATAGTTTGTAGGGCCCAATGCAAAATGAATATATGGGGTCTCTTGTTCAAAAACTATTAAGAATTTCAGAACAGCAATAGCGGAGCGTTAAACCAAGCACAAGAATCTTCTCAGTACAAATGTGTGTGACCGCATCGATCATGTGCCCGAGAGCTCAGCTTTTCATATTGCTTTGATATTGGGCTGGGAAAAATGTGTCTGCCCTATGCTGATGTCAACTGAGAAGGCGTCAGTCCCTCTAGGATGCAAATCATTGGACCAAGCTGGCATCTAGGAGAACAGCTTTCTCATTCCAACCCCAAGGCCACTGTCAAGCTACTTTTAGATACATGGTGACCTACTGTTCCTGGAAACTTACCATGTTGGCACAAATAGTTCTCTGAGGATGACTAGACCTTGCATCACACCCCCAGTTAGCCGTCCCCATTGCTCCTTTGCCATGCTCAGCATTTTCTCTGCTCTCCAAGCACAGATAAGATAGATGGACAAACCTTTTTAGATATCCAAAGCTGTCTGTGGATTTCTGTCTACCAAACCCCCAACCGTTGGCCATACTCAGCTTAGACAGGGTAGGGGAAGGACCCCTTTGTAGATATCACACCCTTATTAATTGTGCTGTTATCTGGCTCTCTCCATTTACACCTTACTTTTAAATTTAAAAAAAATTAGGAATGGAGACAGGTCATGGTAACAGAGATATTACAGTCTTAGCAGAAGGGATCTCAGCTTCAAAAACAGATAACTTATTTTGTTGTCTAAGTTCTGTGTTCCCCATTTCCTGAGGTAGTGGATTCATTCATTATTTATTCATTCATTCATTCACTCAGACGTTCAAAAAATAAATGTATTAAATGCTACTAAGTGCTAAGCCCTGATTCTTAGTGCTGGGCACATTGTGGGAGATAAGAAAGACAGTATCCTTATGGGACTGATTTTTCTAGATCAGATATCATCGTACTATGGCCTGCAGACCAAATCTAGGCCACTGCTTAGATTTCGTAAATACACTTTTAGTGGCACACAGTCACACCCATGCAATGCACAAATTGTCTATGGTTCCTCAATGGCAGAGCTGAGTAGTTGTAACAGAGATGGTATGGCCTGCAGAGCCTAAAATACTGATTACTGATTCGGCCCTTTCAGGAAAAGTTTGGAAGCATTGTTGTAGCAGACGAGTGAGACAGGCAGTGAACAGATACAAAATACATAATTTATAAGATCAAGTAGTCATGAGCCCTGTGAAAATAAAGCAAGGTTGGAGGATTGAGAATTATGAGGTGGCTGGCATGGGGCAAACTATTTCAGATAGGCTGGCCAGAGGAGTGCTTCTAAGCAGGTGGCATTAGGCCAACATTGAACGCTGAGAGATGGAAGTCGTAGGATTATCAGAGAGAACGGAACATGAAAATGGCCTGGGGAGACAAGTACATGGATTCTATCTAGAAGCAAAATCTAGTTGAAATGGAGGGTGGTGCAGGAGTAAGAGGAGATACACATAATACAGTAAATGTTATTATCTTATATGTTTTCCTTTTTCTGGCCTTGACAATGGTAGACTCCAGAGGATGAGAAAAGCCAGGGAAACAATTTTCAACAATGCTGTAACAATTGCTCCCTTTGTCACAGCTTCTGTTTATAGTTTTTTCTTGTCTTCTTATCTTTAGATAAACGACAAAGGATGGAAAATGCTAGCAAGAAGCACTAGATGGACAACACTTTCATCAGAGCCATGATAAACGGACTCATGAGTGGAAGATATGTCTTCCCAGTTCCTCAACTACAAAAGATGGAAAGTGCTAGCAAGAAACAAGAGGTGGGCAACACCTCCATCGTGGCCATGATAAATGGACCCATAAATGGAATGTGTGTCACCCCAGTTTCTCTATGACTTGAAATATAAGACCCTTCCTAGTGGGCTGTAGTGAAAAGGTGAATTTGGGTGTCACATAGATGCTTTCCAGGTTGACAAGCAATTTAACTTCCCTGCACCACAATTTTGTAACCTAGAAAGTGTGGTTAATCATGCCAGCCTTTGAGGATTTTTATAAAGAATAAATGGTATAATGCACGTGAAGGTGACTGGCTGTGTTCCTGGGTGTTAGTGGATATGATTTTCCCACTCTCACCTTTATTCCTGTCTTTGTTTGCCAGCGGCACAGCGTAGCTTGTGTTGATTCATGACCTAACTCTGGCTCCTTCTGATGCTTTATCAGTCTGTCTAACATCCCTAGAGGCAGCATTGCCTGCCCTCAATATAAGGAGAGTGTTGACATGAGAGATGAGCAGTGCCCGTTCACACATCTCGCTGATGCCCTGCAGAAGGCAATGGATTACCCTTTGAGTACAAACATATCACTTCTTCCTCCAGACGTTTCTCTGCCTGAGCCCACCCAGCCCGCTTTAAGACAATACTAAAATCACTGGCCAATTTGGATTAGTTGGGAAAAACAATCTTTCAACTGGAATTGATAAATGATTTAACATTTTTTATGCCTTGAGGAGCCTAGACCAGCAGCAGCAGCATCCCGTAAGAGCTTGTTAGAAATGCAGAACCTCAGATCAGACTCCAGACCCTGGTACCAGAGTCTCCATGTTAACAAGACCCTCTTATGATCTGTATACACAATAAAGTTTGAAGACCATTGGAATAAACTAGGGGTTCTTAATCCAGCCTTCACACAGGGGTCCCACTATGTTTCACTTTGTCTGGTATTTTTGCATCATGGGTAGTTCTCATGTGCAGTGAGTCAAGAACTGCTGGTCTACAAACTGCTCAACTAGGTTCACACTCCCATAAGTCTTAGCAGTGTTAAGAGTCAGGTCCAGATCACACAGTAAATGCCTAACGTAGCTGGGATCAGAAATGTAGCTTCTGATGTTCATTATTCTATATCTATTCCCCTTCCCTGTGCAGATAGATGAGGATATATGTTCACTCTTATAATGATTTATAAATTGCTCTTGGCAGACAGTTTTAGAATTCCTAATTCCAATCCATTGAATCTATCCAAATCCAGCTCTCAAAAAAAAAAACTGCCCCTGCAGAACTTTTACTCAAGTTTATAATGAAGGCAGATGATTTCATGAAATGTCTTCACCAAATCTCCCTCTGAACAAATTTGGATGTCCCGTTCTTCCCACCATATTGTGTGTATTAAATTGATGCTCCCCCTTATTTCTCATACCCATTTTTTTCTACTGGTTTAACTTTTAATTCAATCCATCTTCTAATCCCTAAACCAAAAATAGACTTTTCTGTATACCCTTTTCTATAATTCCTCTAAAAACGTACTTTTTCTTCCTCTAGACTTCCCGGTTGGATCATATGAAACTCTCTGAAGGAAAGTGGCAGAGATAGTGTTCCAGAAATAATCTAAGTGCCCCATCTCTTCATTTTCCAGCCTACTCACAGTTATACTGGAGCTGTGTGAATAGTTCATGCCAACAGACTGTGAGCAGAAGTTTTCTGTGTCGCTTCTTGGCTGAGGTATTTCAAAGAAAGCATGCTAGCGCCATTTCATTTTATGTTTGAGAGAAAAATTGGAAGCCATGTGTTTATGTGGTAGTGTCACAGAGTGAAGAGAACCTGGGTCCCTACACCCCCAAATAAGGAACAGCCTCCACCTACCCACCCACAATGGGCATAGCATGAGTGAAAAACAAAAGTATTTTGCTAAGACACTAGGACTGGGGTAGAGAGTTGTAGGTAGCAGTAGCTGATAGTTTAACCTAACAAGAAGTCCATGACATTAGTGCTTATTAAACTTTAATGTGAATGTGAATCACTGGGAGATCTTGTTAAAATGTTAAAATTCAACAGATCTGGGGAGGGTCTTGAGATTTCTGCATTCCTTATTAGCTTCTAATGATATCAGTGATGCTGGTCCTTGGACAACAATGTAGTAGCAAGACACCAAAATATTTTTCCATTGTTCTATAATACATGCACATATTCTTTCTCTCTCCAACTATACCATAAGCTCTTGTTGGCATGTTTCAACATTTCTGCCACAAATATATTCAAGAAATTTGAGAAAAATCAGCAAAAAGTTTGGAATACAGCCCTCTGAAAGTTCTCTTTTCTGAAAAGCAAAGAGGAAATGCAGAAATTGAAGAAGAAAAAACTTTTTCCAGAACTCTGAAAATTTATCAAAGTCTTGAAGCAATCTGGGGAATGTTTATGCCAATATTTTTAAAAGGTATAATCTCACTAAAAACGTTGAGCATTGTAGCCTTTAAATTTATCTTAATCCCACTGCCCACTCTCCAGCTCTCTAAAAACCAATAGCCTGGCAACCACTAATAGGAGAAAATTGAGGAGAGCTAAAGGTTCTGTAGCTCTTTCAAATTCTCATCTTCAGAGTGTGTTTTCAGACCTGTCTAGTGATTTCTGAAAAAAACTTCTTACAAAGATGTCTGTATTGGATATGATTCCGAGATCAAAAATCGTAAAAAGTTTAATTGAAATAAAAATATATAAGGAGTCTCAACAGCAGATTTTAGCTGGCAGAAGAAATGATCATAGAACACAAAGGTAGCTCAGTTGAGATTATCTAGTCCAGGTGATGACAAGAAGATGAAGAGGAGAAGCAGGGAGAAAATAACATTGCTTCAGAGATATCTAAGGTACCAGCACATGAGTAATAAGGGTCCCAGAAAGAGAAGATAGAAAGGGAAAGAAAGAAAATTTGAAGAAATAGTGCATAAAAACTTTCCAAATTTGATGAGAAATGTTAATCTACGTATTTTAAGCTCAAATAACTCCACACAGAATATACTCAAAGAGATCCACACATAAACACAACATAATCAAAATGTCAAAAAGAAAAGACAATGAAAGAATCTTGAAAGCAAGAGAGATACAATTCATCCTTAATAAGATAAATACCTAATTTCCCATCAGAAACTGTGGAGGCCAGAAAGCAGTGAAACAACATAATCAAATAAGTGAAATATTTAAAATGTCAACCAGGAATTTTATATCCAGCAAAACTACCCTACAAAAAACTAAGGGTATATTAATACATTTCTGGATAAACAAAAACTGAAAGAATTTGTTGCTAGCAGATATGACTTACAAGAAATACTAGAGGGAGCCCTTTAAGCTGAAATTAAAGGATGCTACACGACAAATTGACTATATAAAATTATAAGGATAATCAGTAAAAGCAACTACATAGGTAAATATGAAAGATAATAAAGATAATATACATGAATTTTTGTTTGTAACTTGTTCTTTTCTCCTGTCTGATTTAAAAGACAATTGCAAAGAACAATAATCTGTACTGGTGAGCACAAAATGGTAGGAAAAATATCAGTTGTACTTCAATACATTAGTAATGAAAAAGTCTGAAAATGAAATTAGGAAAATATTTCCAATTTTCAATATTACAGAAAGAATAAGTTAGAAATAAATAAAAGCATAAGACTTAAACAGTGAAAACTAAAGAAACATGTAGAAATAAATTTTAAAAGATGCAAATAAATGGAGAGACATCCTATGTTCATCCATCAAACTATATATTATTAGGACGGCACTATTCCCCAAATTGATCAACAAATATAATGCAATCTCTATCAAAACCCCACTGAATAATTTTTCAGAAATTGACAAGTTAATTCTAAAACTGATAAAGAATTGCAAGGCAGCCAGTAAAGCCAAAACAATCTAGCAAAAGAACAAAGTTGGAAGATTCAAGACTTCTTGCTTTCAAAACTTATTACAGATAGCAAAACAGAGAGATATTGACATAGAGAAAAACATATAGATTCACGGAATATATAGATTGATAGTCAGAAATAAACCCATACGTATATGGTCATTGAATTTTTACAAGTCTTCCAAGACAATTAAATGGGAAAAGTATAATCTTTTCAATAAATGATGTTGTGACAACTAGATGTCCATATGCAAAGGTATGAACATGGATCCCTAACTCACACCATACACAAAAGGTAACTCAAAATGGATCAAAGACCTAAAAATAAGAGGTATAAGTACAAAACACTTAGAAGAAAAAAATAGGAGTAAACCTTTGAAATTTTGTATTAGGCAATGTTTTCTTAGATATGACATCAAAAGCACACACCACAAAATAAAAAATAGAGAATTTGAACTTCACCAAATTAAAAACTACTGTGCATTAAAGTGAAAAGATAATCAACAGTATGGAAGATTTCTAACGTATATATCTAATAAAGTACTACTATCTGAAATATATAAATAACTCTTATAATTCAACAATAAAAAGACAAATAGCCTTCTTTTTAATTGGAAAAGTGTCTGGAAAGACATTTCTCCAAATACATACAAACGGAGAGTAAGTACATCAAAAGATGGTCAACATCATTAGTAATTAAGGGAAAGCAAATCAGAACCATAATGAGATCTTACTTCATACCTACTAGGATGGTTATAATAAAAAAGACAGAATGGTAAGTCTTGTTAAGTATATTAAGAAATTGGAACACTCACACATTGCTGATGGGAATGTAAATTATGCAGGGATTCTGGAAAGAAGTTTGGAAGTTCCTTAATAAATTAAGCATTGAATTATCAAATGACCCAGAAATTCTACTCCTAGATACATACCCAAAATAATTAAAAACATATGAACTACACAGAAACTTTTTAGATAAGTGTAGCTCACAGTGGTATTCACAATGGCCAAAAGTTAAAGCAACCCAATGTCCATCAACTGATGATGGATAAATAAAAGGTGGTACATCTATAAAATGAAGTACTATTTAGTCATGCTGAAACATGGATGGACCTTGAAAAGAAGTCTGAAACAATAGGCCACATACTGTATAATTCAATTTATATGAAATGTGTAGTAGAGGAAAATCCAGAGGTTGAAAGTAGATTGGAAATTGTCAAGGGCTAGGGGAGGGAAGAATTTGTAGTGCCTACTAATGTGTATTGCGTCTGTTCAAGGTGATGAAAGTATTCTGGAATTAGAGAATGGTGCTGGTGACACAATCATGTGACTCTACTGAAAACTGAGTTGTACCTGGTGAAGGGGAAAAACATGTATGTGAAATATATTTCTATAAAAAT